ATAAATGAAACTAAAATTAGGAGCTTTTTATATGGTTAAGATATAAGTTTATCCATTAATTTCAATCAAAATAAGGCTTTCCGTATGGAAATCGATAAAGGCAGCGTTTCGTTAAAGCCATTCTTTTTCTAAAAAAATGTTATAGGATTTATTTATACTTATAACGAACGTTCGAATAACCGTTATAATACTTTTCATTATAAATGAAAAAATAACGTAATGAATAATCGGAATTGTATTATTATTAGCTATTTTTAATTTATATTTTTCGAATAACTTAATTTGTTAAAGGCCTAATTTTTTAACTAAAGTTAAATTAACGAGTTCAAATAAAAATCCGGAATCCATTAGGTATTAACGAATTACTTAACTATTTACTTTTTTATTAATATAACCCAAATAAGTAGCATTATTATCGATTTTGGCTCGATCCGTGAATTTAAGAAAAGGATTAATTGCAACTATCATTTATACAGAATTTACTTATATAAAATGGGATTATAAATTAGTAAGTCGGAATTTTTTCGATAATCTCGGCTTTCGGTTTTTTACGGAAAGGCCTATTTTTTTATCCAGCTAAGCTCTTAACATTAAGGAACGATTTAGCAATTGTTCCTAAGTAATATTCAAAAACGGAATAAATTTAAAAATCGCATTAATGTTAATACGACTTTTTAAATAATCTTTATAAGCCTTAATAAATACCGTATTATTAATTTTTCGAATACGGGACGACTTTTTCTTTATTCGGTTTTTTATATCGATTAATCGTTGCTTTAATTCTTTAATTAAAGGAAGCTTAAGTCCTAAAAACGGATTTCGATTTCGAAAGGCCAATGGTATAACCTTATAAATGAAATTCATAAAATTATACCTAAACCCAATAAACCGACGACTCGATGGATCTCTAAAAAAAGGAAAAGTCGGGCGTTTAAAAGAAACTAACGGACCAACAAAAGGCCTAGATTTTAAATTACCCATAAACGAATCCGGCCTCGAATTATTATTAATGTTCATACGATAAGGATTAAGGGTTATTATTACCGAAATAAGGGCCTTTAGCTTTAGCTTGGGAAATCGATAACCGGCAACAACGGAAATCGACGATATAGCCGTAACGTAAGTATTATTACCAATTATATTTTCGTAAGGAAAGAATTAAATAATATCATTTAAACCTTTCTTAATAACCTGTTTTATTTTTACTTAAATTTGGCGCTTTTAATATTTCAATTCATTCGGAATTGGCTTAAAGCGTTTAATGCATTTACGAATTTTATTTTTAATGGTATTCGGTTAAAATAATTCCGGGCAATTTATCGAAAAATGACCTTAATTATTATAATTAAAGCATATAAAAATATAATATCCCTTTCCGAAAAATCCGCAACGCTTTTCATCTTTAAAAGCCTAACCATATTGGTTTCTTAAGCCTGCATTACCAAATAAACGAGCATTAGTTCTTTAATTACCTGTTTAAAGGCCGTTTTAAGTACCATTATTCTGTGCATTATTTTAAGTACTACCATTTTGGGCACCGCCATTAATGCCATTTTGAATATCATTTTAAATCGATACAGAGGCGTTTTAAAGAAAAACGTTTTAAGGAAAGGTATTTTATAAGATAAGGGCCGCTAAAGGATTTTAAAAACCCTGCCTATATTTATTATAAGCATTTTAAATATTCTATTTATTTATTCTATTATCTTAATAACTTTTAGTTTTAATTAAATAATCCACCATTAGGAAATAAATAGCATTTACCGCTAGGATCGATTTATTAATAACGTTTTTTTACTAAATAACATATGGCTTAATATAATAAGTTTATATACTTAAAGGTTAAAACGACTGCTATTATTGGAATTATTAAGTACCATATTGTTGCAAAAACTGAAATCCTTTATTTTCGGAAATAGGAATAATAAGGCCTGGACTTGTTAAATTTTATTGTTTACCAAACTTATGCATTTAACGAAATAGCAATCCCATCTTTTAAATAGTTTTCTTATTAGATATACGGCCCTTAAAATTCTTTAAAACATCGATTTTATTTACGAATTCATTTTTTCGATTAGGACGGTACATAATATTAATAATTAGATTTTTAACGTTATAATAAATATAGGTCTTAACGAATTTGCGATTCTTATTAATCAGCTTTTCGGCAATTAATCGATTAAAAACGCGGTTTTGGTAATAATAATTACGCTTATTGCTACCAATATATATATACTTATAAAAACGATTTCTTAATTTAATAAGTTGCTTATTAATTGCTTATTTCATAAATTCGTTGGTATATTTCAAATAATAAAATAACTTCTTTTCCAATAACCGTTCCAAGTTATCGATTCGAAATGCATTATTCTAATCGTTAATGCGGATTTTAATCGGAAATTTTTAAATAAAGCTGTTTTTTATCCAAGCTTAATTTAATCGACGCTTTTTAGGAATTTGAAAATACCATTTACGGGCATTCATTTTTAGATTTAATCGAAAAACTGATTTCATTTTAATCAAATTAGGATTATTAGCGGCCGCAGGAAAGGTTTTTTTAACGTAAATCGCTATATCGTCCAAATATTCCTGGAGCGACTTTCCCGGCAATTCCTCGAAAATCGGAAAAATAAAAGACATAATAATAACGGATAATCGAGATGTAGCAGTATCAAGATAATTAAAATTTCGTTCGAGCTCGTTTATAGCTTCCAGGAATTTAACAGCTTGGATAATAAATCCTTAAAACCTAGCTAATACCTTGGCGAAAATATTAGTTCTGTTATAATCCAGAATGGCTAAAATTTGTAAAGTTAATAAAATTAATTAAACATCCTTATAATTAACGAATCATAAATCGGCAACCATACCAATAATAAATTAACGAATTAATAAATCGACGGATTAACGGATTAATAAATCGGAAAATTAACGAATCGATGAATTAACGAATTAACGAAACAAATAACATTCAAGTATAAGCAATTCATTCGACGCACTCACTCCAATAATACAATAGAAAGGGGTTCGACAATTAGCGGCGTTACTTTTAATTAACATTTATTTAATACTTAATTAGTACTTAATTAATATTTAAACATAATAAGGTTCATTAATTAATTAACTTATTCATTTAAATAAATAAGCTTTCCGAATATTTCGCTTAAGAAAAAACGAATTTTATACATACGTTATTCATTTAAAAAAATAAATTACCAATTCCATTAAGTATTAAGGAAATGGCGTAATAAGCAAATTTCTTTAATTTTTAAGTTTTAAAATAAGGAATAAGGTTTTGGAAAATCGATAAAGGATTGGAATAAAAAGGAACCTCCCATTTTTCAACCGAGAATAATTCCTAGGAATTTCTTGCGTATTCGAATAAATAAATTAACGATTTTCGTAATAAAATAAATATAATAAAAACAGTCGTATTAAACGAATTATAACGTAATATTAAAGAATTAAAAAAAGGGATAAAAAAAATAACAATAAAATAAATAATCCTTATAATTTCGATATGGCGTAATTTAATCAAAATCATTGGTTTCTTAGAATTCTCGTTAATAACTAAAACTAAAGCGTAAATAATTAATAGAAACTGGAAAAACCACGTCGAATTATAAAATGGTTTAAATAAAAAGTATGGATAGGATTTTATATAAAGCAATCCGGAAGGTCTTAAAATTCGAAATAGCACTTTCGTTATTAAATATGGGATTACTATAAGGATCCTGAATTAAGGGGAAAAAAAGTTATATTCTGCTAAGTAAGTAAAGCTAAGCTAACAGCTAAAGAGATCTATTTAATAGCGAATCCACGTAACCGCCCCACAGAACCAGATAGCTGTTCTAGCTATTTCAACTGCTCTTGCTGCTGGCTACTGGCTGCTCGCTGCTTACTTGACGTTGCGTACATACATGCCACAGCCCCAGAACCCCAGAGCTCCGGAGCTCTGCCTGTTAGAGCTGAAATTCAACGTTGCCGTGTGATGCGTTCAAGCTTGGCTGGCTGGAAGCAACTCTACGGGGAACTTTACGTCAGGTCAGCTATTAGACCCTTGTTCAACCACTAAATTTCAACGTACAGCACATACAAAGTGCGGCTATCGATCCCGACAGCGAATAGCAGGCTTCATTCGGGTGGAGCCTGGAACTTTGAAGCTCATCATTGATGGTCCGATTCGGCCTAGACTTCGAACCTCCCGTGCCAACCTAGTCCTTGCTAGTCATGTGCGTTCTCGTGACCCTCCAGATCTCCAGATCGCCCACCTCTTGCACTCTTGCACAAGTACCCATATACAGACAGCACGTGTGCTTGTGCTTCAAATATATCATCCTCAGCAGTTGCATGTAAAGTTGCATGTTACCCTCTATCAAGCCGTAATTCTTTGGAGCCCCATAAGTGGTGGAATATAAGACCAGCTCGTCTCAGTTTCACGGGCTTCAGAACCACGGATTTTCAATTTGTACTCCATATAGTTACAACAACCTTGTCATTATCAAAGCTGTGACACATCTATATAATCAACCCCGGGTGGTTCTACAGCCAATATATCATTGCAGCATGGGTAGATGTAGACTGGTTGTTCAACATCTTGGCTCACTCAAGATGCCACTTCGTACCGCGTCCGACCTCGTGGCATCGAAGCCGTTTGGTCATCAATGTTGCTAGCCTCGGTGTCAAGTATTATATCACATTTCTCAACATGATCTCCGAGGTCTCGTATAATAGGTGCGTTTGTCAGGGCATAATGCCGAAGGTATTCATGCTGGGCATTCTCAGATACAGCTTCCCAATACTAATGTATGATAGCAGTATCTGTGGCCATAGTCTAGTGCATAGCTATGTCTAAGATAAGCATGGAATAATACCCATAGCCTAAACGGAGGTAACTGAATAATCTAGGTACGCCAGTGTGTAGTAATGTCAGGACCCAATAGGAGCACCTACATAAGTACAATCAAGAGGCCAGTCTTCTAACAATCAATCAGCCCAAAGCCAGGTTGGTGCAGTGGTAGCACGTCTTTGCCGCAACCAGAACAAACCTCATACGAAAAGTGTGAGGCCTTGGGTTCGATTCCACCCTGTGGCTGTCAAAATGTACACCACAGAAAGGAACGGGTAACTCTTCCGCCCTGTGCGAACCACCACAAAAAGGTGAAGAAACAAATGGCATGAAAAGAAAACCCAGGTTCGATTCCTGGACCAGGCAACATAATTTTTTGGTGTATCCTCTTGTGGTTGGACATATGTACTGCGCGTATACTAACTATATCCGCCAACTTGACCTTCGTAAATGCCACACTGCAATAGAAGAATGCTCGGTCAAGAGTAAAGATACCACCAACGCTGTGTTCCTCCAACGTGTTGCTCCACAAACATGTTCCAAGGCGATTGGGTTTAAGAACATGCTTTGGCTTTGGCGATGGGTTGCCGAAGCCAAAGTTCAGCTTCCATCACCTGCTCTTCAACCTAACAGACGCATGCCCGTCATATAATGCTACTTCAAACTTGCAAATCCGTGAGATCACATCTAATAGAAGCTATATAGGGGTGAAACAAGTAACCTCGACACGTGTTGCTCCTCCCTTGTGCGTGGTATAACCTACCCAACAAGACCTCCTTAACACTATGACGACACTTACTGTCTAACCATACAGTATTGAACCTCTATCATTCTATAGTGGTAATCATCTCTTAGCTTTTCTATATCAACTGACACAGCTGACAGCATTCCATCATGCGTGACATCCTGAAAGTCTAAGGGGTTGGTTGCTAGACTCTAGTGTGTTGGCTTATATGCTTATTTGCATCGATTGATGGCTTGTCTGATGAGTTTCAGATACCGAAAGAGGCATGGCACCAGGTAGACACCCTTTAAAGCTGGAGCGTGGGGAAAGCGGAAGCGGGAGTCTCTGTGAATACCTCATCTCACTGAGGCTGCCTGGTACTTGTATTGCGTGGTGGTGTGTGGTATGTAGTATGATGCTGTAGGATGCCACCTACTTAGTCATCCCATGTTCTCTTGGCCCCTATATCGATTGTGCCTCTGAGTCTAGTACACTTACTAGGGCTGTTTTTTATTGCCCATTCTTACGAGCCAATAGCGAGACTGATCACAGCTACACTGACCGTGTTGTAACACGACTCCAAGATATGGTTATGTGGCTTCTGACCATGAAGCATCGCTGAAGCTCGTGACCATACAAAATATATAGGGTAAGAATAGGTCCTATGTTGAAAGCTCCTATCACAAAAGTTACAGCGTAAAGACCTCACCCAGGAATGTAAAGGGCCAACATGTATTTCAATGGGATCGGAGAAGCACGGGTCGTTACCAGAAGCAAATGAAGGTTCTAAACCAGCATATAACCTTCCTTGTCACAGTTGAACAAGGGGCCACAGCATTGCGAGTGAGTACGAATGGTTCCGTAGCCAATTACGACGCAGGTATGTAATAGAACATACCAAGCGTCTGGAGGCTAGAACTCATTCCATCTTGTGAAGGTTTGAAGGAGCCCCTAGTTACGACATTTGAGCATCAACTTACTCCTCTTGTGGAGAGTACTATTGAACATATCAATCCCACTCCCAATTGGACATTGTTGCTGCAAGTCACCGCCATTCGGCAAATGTATGTATAACATCAAGTATGGCTGGAATGTACTGTTGGAACACGGCACAGAGGCCCTAGTCAAATACAGGATCGATGAGCCATGCTAGATCGCGATTTTCTATCCATCGCCTAATAGCCACTTACATGCCGAATCTGTATTGCACAAGTCCTGTAGAACGAAGCCTGCTGGAGTACCGAATCTAGGGGCGGTATCCGTTGCCTACTGCATGCTATCATTATTGTGCGCACTATCGGTGAGCCTTCCAAGGCCTGTAGAGTACTGTCGTTACCGGCGGCGAATTTGGGTAAGGTAAACTGAGAATCCATGCTCTGGTCCCCATAGAACGGAATGGTATACGACTAACTAGCAGGGGGGGTTTTCAGAACGTGACACGCGAGAATGTAACGCCATGATAGGGCGCGGCTGGAGAAGTACGACATAGGCAGCCAGCCACCTGCTTATGATGTAGTTAGGTGTCTACAGCAGAACTCATGACAACTTCGAGGTCGTAGAGATTCCGAGGTGAATGAAATGAATGTAATCAATTACTGGTCGGTTACGTAAAACCCGTTCATCACATTTAGGTACTGGTACTGTCCGGTCAATTAAGTGGATTTGACGTTGGTATAACTGGCGTGGAGAGGGTACAATACAGTGTCGGGTCTTTAAACTTCTAGACAGTCCAGACAGTTTGACAAGAGAGCTTGTTGTCGACTATGTGGGCTGGATGCTGGACCAACTACGATGTTGCGTGCGAAGTCGCTCCAATGAGCTGCTACAGCAGTAGTCTTTCAAGGTTCTCCACGCAGTAGGAGGAAAAGAAAGGAAAATGTTGGAGTAGATACTGTGCTGCAGATGTTCCAACGGCTGCCAAGTTAGGCATTTCAACCTTTGCAACGAGCCTTTTTCTCAAAGAGCCAACCAGAACACAAGCTTGGAGTATTCCAAACTGGTGGGACACACCGATCTAACTTTTAGTAAACGGTCTTGTGTCACTACTGCAGGAACGGCGTGCCAAAATGCGGTGGGAGGGAAAGCGGACACTCCACGGAGGCCAGGGAGGCGACCTGGAGGCTGATACCAGCGACATAGGAATATGCCCAACCTGCCCAAGTTCCGACGAACTGGCGAGGTCGAAAAAACCATGGGAATCACCCTTGATATCTCGCCAACTTGATTGTGGACACTGAAAGCCGGTAGTTAGGTTCGAAACGATCTTCGCCGCTGTCGGAACACTCGCATAATAAGTGTTCACGCCTGCGCTGTGCCTACTATGTGGCCATTGCGCGGTAGTACTACGTAGGGCATCAATCGGGATCTGGGGGTTTCAGACGACCATCGCATCTCCAATGATCACATCACCGTGTGCGACTACACATGTTTACGAAGAAGACGGAGACCGGCAGGCCGATCGCATCAGCTGAACTGAAACCTCATGTAACACCCCTTAACGTTGATGCTGTACCTCGGCGCAACAAGGCCGTTTCCACGTGGGTATCAGGGATCCTCTGAGCTTTGGTCAAGAGAGCGATCGGTGATCAGCTTCGATGGAAATAACCCGACTGACTACTTCGTACACTCTGTGCATCTGTTTCTGCTTCTGGGATATGTATACGATATCTTGTACATACGTATGCTTAACAGTGTTCGTCTTATAACCCAATGCGTGGGGTGAAGTCACCCCGTACCCCAAGATTAAGCATGGCAGAGTTCCTGCAAGTTGCCGACAGGCGAGCGATCTTGCTCCGTACCTATCATGAACCATTGATCGAACAGGCGAATCTTATATTGTGGTTTGTCACCACCTGAAATGCCCACGACGCTCGGATATTTTGTTTCATTGCCTACCTTCAACAGGCAAGTTTGGGTCGATAACGACACCTATATCAGAGCACTACTATGAGCTAGGCCGCCACATGGCAAGGCGTAAAAGTGCCGAGCTTGGGATGTTTTAGTAGCATCGGGGTATTTAGTGCGTGGCTTTTGAGTTTCCGAATCTGATGGTCGTCTTGAGCTTGTGTCAAATAGTCTCACTGGTCGTATACGGAATAGAGAGATAGTTGTTTGATAGTCAAACGTGAAGCAGAATCGAGTAAATCGGTGAGCAATTATTTCTTGCTGACTAGCCCGCCCAGGTAAAAACGCTTCGCCCCAGGTTTAATTTAGACCATAAGGAAGTGCCCCTGGCTATAGGAGCATCTCGACTAAGTCAGATTTTTTCGCGTTCTGCCACGTCCATGATTCGCTCCAGCTTTCAGGGGGTGGGAAACGAGACAAGGCGCGTTTCTCCGGGCCACAAGGACGAGGAAAGAAACATCACGCGACAAGAGCACTCCACGGAGGGTCCATCCTCGCTGCTATCCTCGCGAAGATCCGGCCACGGGCCCGAAGCGAGGCAAGATGTGCGATCATGGCCCAACCGTGTCAGACATACGGCGGGGTATGATCATAAGCGACCGCCAATATCACACATCTGATCTGATTTCTATCTATTGGAGACCCAGAGGTTCGCAAAGGCGGTTGCGGTTAGACCTAAACAACCTAATTCGGAAGATGCCAAGTCTGTCGACCGCCCGCACAGTTGGGGTCCGGGGGTCTACATAACTAAGGAATCGATAGTTGGTGGATATCCCGCCCGGTGAATAATAGTAACCAAACAATGGTAACCAAAGTACGAAATAGTGAGGCTGTTGCTTACCTACCTAGGTAGACAAGGTAGATAGATAGATATGGCAAGTCCAGCCTCTGGTGCGGTGGCTGGAAAAACCCTGTCTCAGGAGAGTAAAAACCGTCTCCTTACTCCTTACTATATGAGGTGAAGTTGTTACCAAGATGTCTCGAGTCGTATCGTGGAGGTAAGAGAAACCGAATTCAAGGTGTCCCAAAAGTCGCACTGCCTTAGGCCCTCCAAGCCCTTAGCCTGGCAGCCCCGGCTAGGGTGTATGTAGTTAGCTGCCTGGGCATTGTACATACATACTAGGGCTAGGTGTAGTTAGTGTTTCCGCTGATGTGGTTTGCCGCACTTGACTGTCACATCCCTGCATACGACTTCGCGCGGACGCGGACTCTGTTTCTTGTTTCTTACCTCCGGCCGCTCGCCTGCATTGGGCGGCAACATAACGTGGTTGGCACTTCCCGCTCACTGTATTGCCTAGTGTTCATGTTCAATGTTCATTGTTCGTGCTCCTCGTCAGTCCCTAACTACTGTAACTCCATGTTGTTACGAACCAGTCCCTAGCCAAGCGGTTCGATGGCAGGCTAGGTAGGCCTAGGTGTTATATGATCTGCTCAACCCGCATTTGTGCACCTTTGCCCCTCATCCCTAATGCTTCGTCCTATAACCTAGCCGGCTATGGTGAGACGTCACTGAAGGATTCCCGGGTCAGGGCTACAAAAGTACATACTATGCTGATATGTATGTAAGTGGGAGGCGCCCTAGGACGAAATCGCTCAGGCCTCTTCCAGGTTCTCTTGT